CCTAGAGAAAGCGTATGACAAGGTTCCTAGAGAAGTTCTCTAGAGATGCGTTGAGGCAAAATGTGTGTCGGTTCCCTACATTATGGCGATTAAGGACATGTATGATGGGGCTAAGACTCGGGTTAGGACAGTAGGAGGCGACTCTGAGCATTTTCCGATTGTAATGGGGTTACACCAAGGTTCTGCGCTCAGTCCATTCTTATTCGCCATGGTGATAGACGCGTTAACATACCATATTCAAGGGGATATGCCATGGTGCATGCTATTTACCGATGACATAGTTCTGATTGATGAGTCACGAGCCGGTGTTAACGGGAGGCTGGAGGTTTAGAGATAGGCTCTTGAGTTTAAGGGTTTCAAGCTGAGCAAGACGAAGACGGAATACCTGGAGTGTAAGTTCAGCGTTGAGCGAGGGAAAGTGGGCGTGGATGTGAGGCTTGATTCACAAGTCATCCCGAGTAGAGGTAGCTTCAAGTACCTTGGTTCGGTTATCCGTGGGGAGGGGAGATCGACGAGGATGTCACACACCATATTGGGGTAGGATGGTTGAAGTGGAGGTTAGCATCTGGAGTCCTGTGTGACAAGAGAGTGCCACCGATACTCAAAGGTAAGTTATATAAAACGGAGACCGGCCATGATGTATGGGGCTGAGTGTTGGCCCGTTAAGAACTCACATATCTAGAAGATGAAAGTAGCAGAAATGAGAATGTTGCGGTGGATGTGCGGGCACACTAAGATAGATAAGATTAGGAATGACGATATTCGGGAGAAGATGCACGTGGCCCCCATTGATAACAAGATGCGGGAAGCGAGGCTTAGATGGTTCGGGCATGTTCAGAGGAGAAGCCCAGATGCTCCGGTATGTAGGTGTGAGCGACTGGTTGTGGAGGGCACGATAAGAGATAGAGGGCAGCCTAAGAAATATTGGAGAGAGGTGATCGGGCAGGATATGGCGAGGCTCCAGATTTCTGAGGATATGATACTTGATAGGAAGATGTGGAAGTCGAGTATTAGGGTTATAGGTTAGGAGGTAGTTGAGTCGTGTATTATTTCTACCATTATGGGACTAGCCATGTAGGGTTTTTGTCTAAGATAACTAGTGGCAATGTTGTGTCTTACTATTTCGCTTTTCAGTGCAGGTCCTATTTACTAGCAATCGCTTTTGCTTTGCATCTTTCTTCTGGATTTTATGGTGTTCCTATTTTTCTTATGATTGCTATGGTGATATTAATATTATCTCCCTTTGCTTTGCATTTTTTTTCTGAATTTTATGGTGTTCCTATTTTTCCTATGATTGTTGTCTCCTTTTATCTTTTTGTCCTTTTGTCTTTTTATTTTCTTGAGTCGAGGGTCTTTCGGAAACAACCTCTCTACTCCTTCGGGGAAGGGATAAAGTCTGCGTACACACTACCCTCCTCAGACCCTACTAGTGGGATTTTACTGGGTTGTTGTTATTGTTGTATATACAAATAACAATAATGAAGAGCTAGACAACAATTATCGGGAGGGGAAACATGCTGAGGAAAATACGAGATAAAGAATTGCAGCAGATTAATAACTGGTACAACCAATATACTATGAATCAATAGAAACAACGAATACAGTAAAAGAAAAAATGCACGGCATCACTCTTTGTGCTTTTACTCTCAATCTCACCATAAAATCAATAGAAACAATACGACATCACCCTCCGTGCATTAACTCTCATATCATGGCATGATATCACCCTTCGTGCATTAACACTCACAATATGGCACGGTATCAACTTTCGTGATTTTACACTCACAATATGGCACGGCATCACCCTTCGTGCATTAACACTCACAATATGGCACAGTATCACCCTTCGTGCATTAACACTCTCCCTTACCATAACGCAATGCATAAATAACAACAAGGAGATAGAATAACAAATACAAACCTTACTTCAACATTTGGTTCCACAAAAATCAATCTCAACTTTGAAATAAATACTCAATTATCACCAGAAAATTCGTAAACATAATAAGAACGATCAATTTAACAACACTAGTATAAACACATAGCAATTAGGCATAGGAAGAGACGATGTAAGAAAAACGGAAGAAACATGGAAAAACAGGAAATTTGGCGGCGCATAAGTACTCGTCACCTCACATATACGCCGCTCACATGAATTTCACATACAAATAGTCTAAGGTTCCTAATTCCCTCAAGTCAGGGTTAGACACAACACTTACCTTGTTCCGAAGGCCACTTAGTTCTCAATCACAACTTTTCCTCTATAATTCACCTCCAATTCACTCGTATCTACTCAAAAATGACTCAATAATATCAAATATTGCTAAAAGAATCAATTATATTGCATAAATTAAATTTCCCAAATTTTCCTCCAAAAAGTCAAAAAAACGACCCCATGCCCGCTTGGTCAAAACCCGAGGTTCGGACCAAAATCCATTTACACATTCACCCCCGAGTCCGAATATATAATTGGTTTGGGAATCCGACCTCAATTTGAGGTCTAAATCCCTAAATTTCCTAAATCCCTAGTTTCTACCATAACCCCTAATTCTACCATGAAAACTCTAGATTTTAGGTTGATAATTCATAAAATGTAATGGGTAATTGAAAAAAAATGGTTTAGAATCACTTACCAACACTTTAGGGAAGAAAATGACTCTTGAAAATCGCTCCTACCCATTTGGTTCTTGAAAAATATTGAAGAAATGGCTTAAACCCGTGTTTGATGCTGTTTTAAGTGCTGGGCGACAGTGTGCATCGCGTTCGCGAAGCCACTGTCGCTTTCGCGAAAAGCATTGGCTGCCAAGCCTTCGCGTTCGCGAGACAGAGTTCGCATTCGCGTAGGCTACCCCCTGGTCTTCGCGTTCGCGAGGCATTACTCGCGTTCGCAATGAAGGAAAGACTAACCCCCCAGTGCCTAACACTACGCGTTCGCGAAGGATAATGCCCCTATCGCTTCGCGTTCGCGACCAAGCCTTCGCATTCGCGAAGAAGAAAATTCCGGCCTCATCAGTTTACTCTTTGCATTCGGAAGAGGACCTTCGCGAACGCGAAGAAGGACATGCCAGAACACCAGAATCTGCAGAAAACCAGATTTTTCAAACTCCAAAACATTCCGTGGCCTATCCGAAACTCACCCGAGCCCTCGGGGTTCCAAACAAGATATGCACACAAATCTAAAAACATCATACGAACTTGCTCGCGCGATCAAATCGCCAAAATAATACCTAGAACTACGAATTTAGCACCAAATCAAATAAAATTCTCAAGAACACCTTAAAATTTTATCTTCACAGCCTCACGTCCGAATCACGTCAAACTAACACCGTTTCTCATCAAATTTCACAGATAAGTCTTAAATATCATAATAAACTTGTACTAGGCTCCGGAACCAAAATACGGACCCGATACTAACAATGCCAAACGTTAATCAATTCTTAAAAATAAATAATTTTCCGACTTTTAATTTTCATAAAAAAATTATAACTCGAGCTAGGGACCTCCGAATTTGGTTCCGGGCATATGCCCAGGCCCCATAATTCAATACGGACCCTCCGGGATCTTCAAAATATAGATCCGGGCCCGTTTACCAAAAAGATTGACCGAAGTTAACTAAAATCAATTTTTAAGACATAAATTCTTATTTTTATCAATTTTTTAACATAAAAACTTTCCAGAAACATGCCCGGACAGTGCACGCAAAATCGAGGAGGGTAAAAAAAGAGATTTTTAATGCTTAAGAGTGCAGAATCGAGTTCTGAAACATAAGATGGCCTTTTGGGTCATCACAGAACAATATCAAAAATAAAATTTAAGACTTCGTAATTTTTATTTGAGTTTAAAAAACACTACAAACATTATCAAAGAATACATATTATGTTCACTAAATTGAAAATAATATCAAAAATTTACATAACTTAATTGAATCAAAATTTCAAACAAGGAGATATCAATGAGTCAAATAATCAAATTAAAATATACACCATTGCAAAATAAGTTGATTTAGTTAATTCTTTCAACTATCTCATCAAGCACATGTGTATAATAAAGCAATGATATTATACTCACACTAATAAAATAGAGTAGAACTATAATTCTTTATTGACTAAAGACTGTTAAAGAAATCGAAGTTTGTGTAGTATTTCATGGTGTTGCTACAATATTAATCTTGATCGGGTCTAAAATAGCTCCACAAACCATAGTTTTTCATGTTTTTATCTATGATGCAAGATTTCATAATTTATTTCCTGCATGCAAAAATAAATCATATCATAATATAAATTCATCCTAACATAATAAGCACATAAAACAATAAAAGAAAAGAAGGAGTTCACCAGCTTTCAAGAAGACCAATAAAGAGAAAGTGAATTTAAGATGACTTTCTAATTTTCGTTACTTAACATAAAAAGCAATATACAATTCATCTCACGGTGAATTTTTATTAATATGCCATAAGTTAAAGAACAGCAGAAATATTGCCGATTTCTCTTCGTGCCTAGGTTTTTAAGTGTTAGAATAAATAGTAGGAAGGTATTATAATAGTTACGTTACTTACCTAGTTCATATAAGTTAAGAATTTAAATAAGGTAAAATGTTGATTGATTTTATTTTCCTAAATATTTGAATTTTCTATATAATTCAAATAAGGAAAAATTTAATAAGAAAGATTTTAGTTGATTTCAAAACTCTAAATGTTAGAGAAATAATTAAATGATGATTTTGTCTAGTGTGAAATCTATTTTTAAAGGGTAAAAAAAGCGAACGACATTTCGCTAAGGGCCTTCGTACTTTTAATNTATAGGTAAAGAAAATAAGTTCAATATTTATACTGTACATTAAAGAAATTTTACTCTATCAATTACGTAAAACTTAAAATAATAACTATAAGTAACAATTAAAAAACTAAAATTAGTAACATTAGAAAAATATAGTGCAATTACTTGCATAAAAAAAAACTATCATCTTATTGCAAGAGATGCGAGAGTGGGAACACATTTCACTATTGTTTCTTTGCTACTCGAAAGTTGGGGCAAATTAATAGTGGGCTGCCCGTATTTCCTTTGGCAGAAATTGGAGAGACTCTGTAGCCATTGAAGTGAAGTGAAGATGGCGAGAGTTGCTATTCGTTACCCTCGCAACGGTAATACCTTCATCTCATTATTGGCTTATTCTCATGGCAATGCTGAGATTGCTCATTCTACTTTCGCAATTGCGCCTAGAGATTATTCTTCATTTCCTAGCAATACGTCCATTTCGATAAAGGGTAGACTCGGGTTTTCTAGCAGTTTTGAGAATGTCAAGTGTTTAGACGATGCTGTGACCGTGTTCCGCCAAATGATCAGAGAGCAGCCTCTTCCCTCTCTTGTCAGCTTCTCGAAATTGTTGAGGACTATGGTAAATATGAAACATTACTCTGATGTTGTTTCTCTCTTTGGAGAAATGCAGAAATTAGGTATTCCAACTAATGAATTCATCTTGAATATAGTGATTAACAGCTATTGCCTCATGCATCGTGCTGATTTAGGATTTTCTGTATTGGCCATTTTTTTGAAGAATGGTATTGCATTTGATGTGGTTACATTTAGCAGCCTAATAAGGGGACTATTTGCTGTAAATAAGCTTAAAGACGCCGTTGACTTGTTTAGAAAGGTGGTGAGGGAGAATATTTGTGAGCCTAACAAAATCATGTATGCAATTGTCATGGATGGGCTTTGCAAAAGGGGCCATACACAAAAAGCTTTTAGTTTGCTCCGATTAATGGAACAAGGGAGCACTAAGCCCGACACATGCATCTATAACATTGTTATACATGCCCTCTGCAAAGATAGAATGCTAGATGATGCTATTAACCTTTTGAATGAGATGAAACAAAAAGGCATTCTTCCTGACATTGTCTCATATAATTCATTGATTGATGGTTTGTGTAGGTCTGGTCAATGGGAAAATGTTAGGAATTTGTTCTGTGAGATGGTTAATCTTAATATTTATCCAAGTCTGTACACCTTCAACGTAATTGCAGACGCCGAGAAAATAATGAGCCACATGATTGAAAAAGGTGTAGAGCCTAGTTTATTCACCTACAATACAATAATAGATGGATATTGCTTGTGTGGTCAAATGGATAGAGCGAGAATTTTTTTTAATTCCGTGATAGATAAGACCATTGAGCCTGACATTATTACCTATAACATACTAATAAATGGATACCGTAAGAAGAAAAAAATGGATGAGGCCATGCAAATGTTTCTTGAAATTTCTCGAAAGGGGTTGGAACCTAGTATTTTTACCTACAATATTATCTTGCAAGGTCTGCTTGAAGTTGGGAGAATCGATGTTGCACAAAATTTCTTTGCTGATATGATATCGGCAGGACAAAGACCTGATTTTTGTACTCATCGCATCTTGCTTGGTGGTTATTTTAAGAATGGACTTGTTGAAGAAGCTATGTCACTCTTTCATAAGTTGGAAAGCAATGGAGAAGACACTGGCATTGAACTTTACAGTATTGTCATTGATGGATTGTTCAAAAATGGAAATTTCAACAAAGCTCGTGTCATTTTTGAGAAGCTTTCTGTAGTAGGTTTACATCCTGACGTAATAATGTACAATACAATGATTAATGGATTTTGTCTAGAAGGGTTGCTAGATGAAGCTAAAGATATGCTTAGAAAAATGGAGGACGATGGATGTTCGCCAGACAATGTAACTTACAATGTCATTATGCGAGGATATCTCAGAAGTAACAAAATTAGTGAAATAAAGGCTTTCTTAAAGGAAATGACGGGGAAGACTATCTCATTTGATGCAACTACAGTAGAGTTACTAATAGACATTATAGCGGAGGATCCTTCTTTGCTTGACATGTTACCAGAGTTTCACCTGGAAAATAAGACGTGAATATTTTTTCCCAGAGTTTCATTCAGAGAGTAAAATGTGAATACTCTTTCCCTTGGTTTTATCAACTATATTATGTCTAGGGCGCAAGTTTATGTTTTTTCCCTCTGGAAAAGAAATGCAATTGGGGAAATAGGAAAACTGAAATTCGAACACTGCTTTTGCCTTAGAGGCAAGCTTACTGAGGTAAATCGCTTCTTATTTTGAATGTTTTCTTCTATTCTTTGTCTTGGAAATTAGATGCTATTGCACTCTTACTATGAGAAATAATATAAGTGCCATGCATAATAACAAGATGAACGTAAGATTGATTTAACAGTCTTTTACTGGTATCTAGTCATCTTCAGGTATTTTTGCACTCTAACATCTACTATAAGATCAAATAATTGATTCTTCTTTTGAGATTGGTCATGCAATTTTCAATAAAAGATGATATAAATGTATTTAGTGTTCTTCAATATGTTATCAGGTAAGACATTTTGGGTAAACACCTGCCACAGTAATATGAAATCCATCTATATTCTTCTTAAGGTCCAACTAAGGTTAATGTACTATTTTGATGGTAAACCATCTAAAATCCTCCTTATTTTTTTATCAAGCTATTCAGTATTTACTTGAGAAAGCATTAGTCAGAACATGTGATCTTGTATATGGTGGTCACTTCCCAATCTATTTTGTGTTCATGCATTGCGGGGTTGATATATGAAGCAAAGTTAGGATTAGAGTTTGAGCTTAGATATTGGACAAAAAGTCAAATGAAAGTAATGCCCAAACTGTTTAATAAAGCAAAGTTAAGCTTAGGTTGATGTACTAAGCTTTCTGCCAAAGCCCCTCATTCCTTCACCTTTTCCTCCTGATGGATGACTTGATGCCAGTCATTTAGTCACCTTTTCTCTCTCTTGGTTACCAAAATGATTGACTATGTCGCCCTGACTAACACAAAGGGGAGTTGGATCTACTCAACCTCCGTCTGTACAAGAGAGAAACTCATGCAGTTGCAGTGGGGATTAAAAGCCAACCAAGTGGGCAGAAACTATGCCTCTAAAAGGTAAAAAATCTCAGAGTCATCCAAGTATAATGCCCGACTCTTAATTTTACCCGATCTCCCCTGAATTCAAAGGTGTAGGTTTACCAGGATTAATAAACTTATAAGGTGTCGTTGTCGCCATTTAGCCTTGTTCTCCATTTCTTATATACATAATATGACCAAATTCTCTCACTGCAAGAGATTTCTTAATGGTATTCATTATGAACTATGTCTTAAGGAATATATATATATATATATATTGGCCTAGAAAATGTATATTTTCACTGACAATTAAATAAAAAAGGCCAGTAAAAGACCCAACTTTTGTTTTTAATCTTCCCTCCAAAGCAAACCCTATACGTTTTCATTTCCCTCCTCATTCTCCAACTCATCCCGCCCCATAACTTGTATTTCTGTTGATTCTTCATCGAACTTTCCCAGACCCTATCAAAGTACGTTGATTTTGAAGATCGAGGTATCTAGAGAAACTTTGTGCTGAAACTCGCAGCTGATTGAACATCAATTTAGGAGAAATTCGTTGTGCTGAAATTCGCGGCTATTGAACATCAATTTAGGGGAAATTCGTTGTACAACATCAATTTGCTGAAACTCGTGGCTGATTGAACATCAATTTTGGGGAATTCGGTGTACAAAATCAATTTGCTGAAACTCGCGGCTGATTGAACATCAATTTTAGAGAAATTTGTTGTACAAAATCAATTTGCTGAAACTCGCGGCTGATTTTGTTTTCACTTTATGATTGAATAGGTATCTGATTTGCTCATGCTCTTTGTTGCCGTTACTTGCTTCAACCAGCATCCGTCTCTTCGTCAATCGTTGCCTTGAAGTAAGCTCTCTTCTCTTTTATTTTCCCAAAATTTTACAATGTTTATTTTGCACTCATTTTATTATCATAGGAGACTAGGTTCATTTTGATTCATTTGTTTTACTTTATTGCTTGTGATTTGCTTTGATCCTAATTCATTTATTTATACTAAATTAGTTGGTGTTTGCTTCTAGAGGATATATTTAAAAACCTATTCGGTGTTTGATAGAATTGTCACTTGAAAAATAAGATGAATGGGTATGAGGTTTTAAAAACAGTTTTTTGAATCTTTAAACGTTGAGACATCATTTTCAGACACTCGGTTTTGATAAGTTTTAATTTCTATATTTATGAGTTTAATTAGAGTCAACTTGGGCATACACAACCATGTCTGGTCTACGCACTTCTTCATGTCTAACAGAGTTATATTATGAAAAGATCTCTAGTAGAGCTTCTTTTAACAATTAAACTCCAAACTCCAAAGTGATTCAGTATTGTTCTGTTAATGTATCTTTTTAGCATAATATGTCCCATGTAGATTCCCCTGACAATTTCTTGAACTTTGTTAGCTCCCTGGCGAAGGCCTGGTCTTTGAATAGCCTCTCATGTAATGGAGCTAACTCAGTTTATTTTGTATTCTTTTTTGTACTATTGCATTTTCTTGATGGCATCAATGCAGCTGCTTACTTCATCAAAAAAGTGACAGGTTGCTGCCCTTCATTTTATGAACTTTGACAACAGCCAGTATGTCAAGATTCACGCCAGTTGCAGGTGATTGAAATTAATCCTTGATGTTGCTTTATGTTTTTTTTTTTTTTTTTTTTTTAAATTGGCGCAAGAGTGTACCATAAATGAAGTCAGTCTATGGTTCTTAATTATATTTGTCGTGGTATTGCTGTATCTAATTTCTCTGTCAACTTTATAACGGATGACAGTGGATTTGTATTTTTGAGCGTGACAAGGCTATTTGGCTTTACTTGAAAGCTAGGCTGCCCTTCTCCATCTATATTCTTTAGCAGTTTAGCCAGATATATCTGTTGTTTAACCTTTCATGTGAGCTTTGTTGTATGCACAGATTTCTCTTGGTTATAGGGATTGTAGTTTTATGTCAACCTGTAGAGCGCAGGATGCAGCTTCAAGCTGCAATATTGTTCACTTCTTTCAAATATGTGTAACTTGATCTTCTTATATTTTTGTTGATTGTTGTGTTCTGCAACAGATCGGTAATTTTTAAAATGATGATCACCTGCTTAGTAGATGCTGTAATGATCTTCTAATACGTGCATTACTCTCTACACGTGGGCATCTTTTGCAAGTTTATTTTTTGTAATAATGGGAAAGTCCTGACAGTTTTATGTATCTCCTTACTTTGGCGTGCAGTGTGACTTGCACCTCCAGTGGGCTGCCTACAAAAAGGAACCAACATGCCCTCGGTGTAAATATCCATTTGAGTTAATTACATCCATCCCTCACTTGATGGAAGGTAACTGATTATTTTAGTTAAAGTTTCTTTAGTCTAAATATATGTGATACATGATTATATAATCATATGGCCAGTGTGATATTTGGAACCACGCGCATAATTCTTTAAGGAGGGAAAAAATGTATTCGCTACAGAGGTTAAAAATAGTAGAAATTGTAGTATCTTTTAATTGATCCATCACTTGTTTTCTTTAACTTGGACTTTTTTTTTTTTTGGGATGGTTTAATCTTTTTGTCATGTTGATGGGCTACTTCTTTGTGATTGTCTTATTCCCTTGACTAGCATTGTTCTGGTTGATTGCTGCAGTGAGACCTTTTCCTTTTCGATATTGGGTGAGAAAAGGAAGGGAAAAGGAAAATTTTCATCCCAATTCTCACCCAAAATTTGTTTTGTTGGGTGGGGAGGAGGGCAGAAGTGACTAGCGTATTTATCTGCTTGTCCTGTTGATCTTTGTAAGAGGCATATACATGTATTCTTGCATTTGTAGCTAGACCAGTGGATGATCTTTATGCTAATCATATGGAATGTTGTAACATAGAGCCCGTCTGGATTGGCTTTAAAAAGTGGCTTTTCAGCAGAAATAGCTTTTAAGCCAAAAAGCAATAAGTTGGGGTTGCCCAGCTTATTGCTTTTGGCTTGTTTTAAGCAGTTTTAAACTTATTTTAAGCACTATAGCTTTGCCAAACACTGATAAAAGCTAAAAAGAGCTTAAAAGCTGATTTGGACAGCTTAAAAGCCAATCCAAACACCCTCATAGTAAAAGGACTATATCTTTTTACCTAGTCATCATGTTAATACTCATTTATTTTATTGTTTCCGGTCATAGATAAAAAAGGAAACTATAGAGAGAATAGAGTTAGTAAAAATGTTTAGGAAAGCTCATAGATGTCATAGTTTGATTCAGCAGATTACATGTAATTAGTTCTCAGTTGGAGGCCTAGCATTCACAATACTCTTCCTAGAAGATGGTTGTGGAACTAGGTGATCTTCAGGTGTATTGATTATTTTGTTTGTTATGGTAACATTTATAATTGTTAATAACCAAAAAAATTTATTGCAGAAAATAATAATAATAATAGAAAAAGTCATTAAAGACACAAGCTCTTTACTGGCAATTATGGGTCTTTACGGCAATAACAAAGGCTGTTGAATGTATGGGGCTAGGACATTTCTTAGGCAGTTTTAGTGGCCATTGTAGTTGCCGCTAAAAGTAATTATTTTTACCAGTAATAATATGAGTCTGTACTAGCATCTGGCGTAAATGCTGCTAGAGGCTTTAACGATTTTGGATCCAATGGCATTTAATTAATTACTGATAAATATTTTTATGGCAACAAATATTGTATTTAAAATAACAATACAATTATATTTAAAGTAACAATACGATACAATACCATAAATAACAACCATCCAAACAAGCTGTTAGCTCGGAATAATAAATTCTTTTTGCATGACTATGTATTTGTTGTAATTCAATGTTACGGATGCTGAATTTCAGAGAAGAAGAAGCTAACTAGGGCTAAGCTAAAACTAAGAAGAAAGGGAATTAAGGCAAATAAAATAAAAGGGTTTTCATTCATGCCCTGAAAATGAGCTGTTGCTCATTTTCAGGGCATATAGCCTCAAACGTGAGTAAAGACCTAAGGACTAAAAAGAAATAAGAGAAACTTACAAGGGGTAATTAAATAATAAAGTAAATTAGCTAAATGGACTCCAATGCAAATGGTAAAACTTTTTAGCTACTCCGCCAACTCCTCTCACTAACTTCACAGCACAACCTTGCAAGCCCATTGTACAAGCTCCACCAATAACTCCAACCCCTTCCATTTCAAATCGTATCATTCAAGTAATTGAGGCAACAAAAAAAGGATAAAATAATAATTTAGGAAAAAGCAAAACGATTAAGGTGTATCAAAATTCAAAATCAGTTAACACCATTTTCTACTGGGATGTTAGAGTGGGAACTCACATTCCACTTTTGTTTGCTTTCTTCTCCAAAGTTAAGGCAAGTTAAGATTGGGCTGCCCGTATTTCCCTTTTGACAGAAATTGGAGACATTCCGTAGCCATTGAAGGTGAAGATGGTGAGAGTTGCAGTGCGTTACTCTCGCAATGGTGAGATTTTTCATTCTGCTTTGGCAATTACGCCCAGAAATTATTCCTCATCTCCTAGCAATACATCTCGGTAAAGGGTAAAATTGGGGATTCTAGCAGGTGTGAGAACGTCAAGTGTTTAGATGATGCTGTGAGTGTGTTCCGTCAAATGGTTAGAGAGCAGCCTCTTCCTCTCCTGTCAGGTTCTCGAAATTGTTGCATACTATGGTAAATATGAAGCATTACTCTGCTGTTGTTTCTCTCTTTGGAGAAATGTGGAAATTAGGTATTCCAACTGATAAATTCATCTTGAATATAGTAATTAACAGTTATTGCCTTATGCACCGTTGTGACAAGAGTGAGTTGCTCTAGTGGTAAGCACCCTCCACTTCCAATCAAGAGGTTGTGAGTTCGAGTCACCCCAAGAGCAAGGTGGGTAGTTCTTGGAGGGAAGGAGTCGAGGGTCTATCGGAAACAGCCTCTCTACCCCAGGTAGGGGTAAGGTCTGTGTACACACTACCCTCCCCAGACCCCACCAGTGGGATTATACTGGGTTGTTGTTGTTGTTGTTGCCTTATGCACCGTGCTGATTTAGGATTTTCTGAATTAGCCATTTTCTTCAAGACTGGCATTCCATTTGATGTTGTTACCTTTAACACCCTAATAAGGGGACTCTTTGCTGAAAATAAGGTTAAAGATGCCGTTCACTTGTTCAAAAACTAGTGAGAGAGAATATTTGTGAGCCTAACGAAGTCATGTATGCAACTGTCATGAATGGGTTTAGTAAAAGGGGCCATACTGAAAAAACTTTTAGTTTGTTCCGATTAATGGAACAAGGTAGCACTAAGCCCTACAGATACATCTATAGCATTGTTATAGATGCCCTTTGCAAAGATAGAATGCTAGATGCTGTTGTCAGCCTTTTAAACGAGATGAAACAGAAAGGTATTCCACCCGACATTATCACTTATAGTTCATTGATTGATGGTTTGTGTAGGTTTGGTCGGTGGGAAAATGTTAGGGCTTTGTTCTGTGAGATGGTTGGTTAATGTTAATATTTATCCAAATGTGTACACCTTCAGCATAGTGATCGATGGGCTATGCAAAGAAGAAAAAGTTGAAGACGCCGAGAAAATAATGAGACACATGATCAGAAAAGGTGAGGAGCCTACTGTGGTCACCTACAATGCGATAGCAGATGGATATTGTTTGCGTGGTCAAATTGATTGAGCGAGGAGAATTTTTTATTCTATGATAGATAAGAGCATTGAGCCTAACATTACTAATTATAACACACTAATAAATGGATATTGTAAAAAAAAGAAGTTTGACGAGGCCATGCAATTGTTTCTTGAAATTTCTCGAAAGGGGTTGAAACCTGATACTGTTACCTACAATATTATCTTACAAGGTCTATTTGGAGTTGGAAAAAGCGACACTGCACAAAAGTTCTTCGCAGAGATGCTTTCGGCAGGGCAGAGACCAAATTTGTGTACTCGTAGCATCTTGCTTGGTGGTTATTTTAAGAATGGACTTGTTGAAGAAGCTATGTCACTCTTTCGTAAGTTGGAAAGAGAGGGAGAAGATACTGACATTAAACTTTACAATATTGTCATTGATAGATTGTGCAAAAATGGAAAGTTGGACAAAGCTCATGCCATTTTTGAAAAGCTTTCTTTAATAGGTTTACATCCTAACGTGATAATGTACACTACAATGATTAATGGGTTTTGTTTGGAAGGGTTACTAGATGAAGCTAAAGATATGCTAAGAAAAATGGAGGACAATAGATGTTTGCCAAACAATGTAACTTACAATGTTATTTTGCAAGGGTTTCTGAGAAGTAACAGAATTGGTGAAACGAGGGCTTTCATAAAGGAAATGACTGGGAAGACTCTCATTTGATACAACTACAACAGAGTTATAGCGAAGGATCCTCCTATGCTTGACATGATACCAGAGTTTCTTCTGGAAAAGAAGAAATGAAGATGTTTTCCTAATCTCATCCAATGCAATTGGGGAAACAAGAAAGTTGAAATTTGAACATTGCTTATGCTTTATAGGCAAACTTATTGAGGAGGTAAATCACTTCTAATTCTGAATGTTTTGTCCTCTTCATTATCTCGCAAATTAGATGCTATTGCACTCTTACTATGAGAAATAATATGAATTTCCTTATGAGCTATTCTCCTATTTCTTTATAAAGGCTAGAGGTTACTTTAATAGCAAAATAAGAGCTTTAAGATTAAGGGGAAACTGAAATAAAAGTGAAAGGATCATTGTTGTTCTTATTTTCAGTTTTCTTAATATAATAAAATTCTTACACCCGTGACATTGGAGAAATATATCCTCCAAAATGGATCTCAACAATATTACAATATATTTTGATGAGCTATATTACAGTACTGTATATAGTGTATAAATCTAATGTGATTATGGGATAATACTTTGATATTTGTAATAGGAATTATGTTTTTCCTAGAGTTTGAAGTCTTGGTCATTCTGCAATATTATAACCTTTATGGGGAATTTGGGCATCATCATCATCATTTTCTGCAAATTTGCTCTTTTCTTTTGTATTTTGTCTATCCACTGTGATCTGGGATGTACACTAGACAGTTTTTTCCATTGAACAGTTTATTATACTCTAGGACTAAGTTCTCTGTCAAAGCCTCTTGTTCTTTTACTCTTTTCCCCTAGATTGGGCTGCTCATTTTTCCCTTGACAGAAATTGGAGAGACTGCGCAGCCATTCAAGTGAAGTGAAGATTGCAGGTGTTGCAGTTCGTTACTCTCGCAATGGTAACCCTTTTATCTCATTCTTGGCTATTTCTCATCGCAATGCTGAGATTATTCATTCTGCTCTGGCAATTACGCCCTCAGATTATTCTTCATCTCGTAGCATAGCAATACATCCATTTGTTTCTAACAGGTTTGAGAACATCAAGTGTTTTAGATGATGCTGTAAGTGTCAAATGGTCAGAGAGCAGGCTCCTTCCCTCTTCTGTCAGGTTCTCAAAATCGTTGAATGTTATGATATTTATAAAGCATTGCTGTTGTTTCTCCCTTTGGATAAATGCAGAAATTAGGTATTCCAACTAATGAATTCATATCCACCTGCTGATGGATGACTTGATGCCAGACATTGTGTCACCTCCTCTCTCTCTCTCTCTCTCTCTCTCTGTGCCATCTTTTTCTTCCCATATATTGAAAGGATAAGGATTAAATTTAAGAAAAGGAAATAGTTGAAATTGGTATTGTACAACTGCAAGCTCTCTATGGACTAAGATAATCAATCAATTAATAGGGTGTCCTAGTGTGGATTTTTTTTGTCTTGCTTGTACATGTGAAGGAATTTTCAAGTTGGTAAACACTCGGAGATCTCATTAGCTGATTTTACAATAAGAGCGCCACATCTATAGAATTTTTTTTTTTTTTTTTTTT